CCGCGGTCCTCAGACAACAATACGACCATCGTCTCCTCGCCTCCCACGCAGCACTTCCTTCCGTCCAGTCTCGGCGGGCCCTGGTCCAACTCGCGCATTCTCAGCTCCAACCGCGGCCAACCTGTCCCCATTCGGAGCTCCTCTTTCTCCGCACACCCCCAGAACCAGTTCTCATCCGCCATGCGCGAGCGAGCCTTCCCATCCACCTTCGAGGACGACGAATCGGAGGCGCTGTCAGACACTTATGACGAGCGGTATGTCCCGCCATCGATGGGCAGGGGCCGTACTTACGGACAGGATCCCAGTCGGAGCCGCTCGCAGTCGCTTGCGACTACTCGTCCGGGGCCCGTGGGCAGCCCCTACCTCGGATCTTCCGCCATGCAGAGCTGGAACGAGTCATACCTTTCTACCAACCCTCTGAAGATCCCTTCGAGTGGCCAGAGGTTTGGAGAGATGAAGCCACCTGGTGCAAGCCGGTACGGATCTCTCGGTGCTATCGGTAGATCTCCTACCAATATTCACTCATCTTCGCCTACCGGCGGTTCGCTCGTCGGGAATGGCTATGGTAGACACCAGCAAGCCGATATCTCCAACATGAGCCCGTTTGTGCGGGATGTGGGACAGATCCTGCTCGACGATGGGTCGGCGTTTAGGGAGCTATGGGCTGGGATGAACCCTCCGAGAGATGAGAACGGAGGTGGAGGAAGTGGGACCACCAGCCGCCGCCACAGTGTCAGCGTGGTCCAGCCTCGTCGAGGCAATGTTGTGGGCTTCAATGCTCCTGGAACGGACGTCGACGAACCACCTCGTGCCAATTTCCAGTCGGCTTACAGTGGCCGAAGTGGTCTCATGTTGTCAGACGACGACCTCGCAAGCGATCTTGGCCTCCTCAACATCAACCCCAACGAGCCACCTCAACCCTCCTTACAGCATCCTCCCAGCCAACCATCCTCCTTGCCCATCTATGCCCCATTGTCGCGTAGCCCGCCTTCGCGGGACCTGATGTCGAACTACCAGTCCATAA